TAATCTCAAACTGGTTTCTTGAATTCACGGTCTCCAAATCTCAATCCAGCAGAGCACATATGGGTAAAATGGAAGATTCTCATCATGGATGTTCACCCAATAAATCTGCAGCAACTGTGTGATGCTATCATGTCAATATGGACCAAAGTCTCAGAGGAATGTTTCCAGCACTGTGCCACGAAGAAATAAGGCACTTCTGAAGGTAAAAGGGGTCCAACTGTGCACTAGCAAGGTGTATCTAAGAAAGCGTCTGGTTACTTTCACTATGTTGTTTAGTATAATCATGAAGAGGTTTCACTTGCTCATATATTACAAGTATTGCTTGAGAAAGATGACATTTCTTTGCAGAACCATATCATGTACAGAAAACACAAGAACACAGTGCTGGTCAGAACATGAGGGTTGAAAGGGAAGCGGAGCGGTTCTGACTGAACAGAGAGGAAAACTGGGACAGGACTGTCTCAAACTGGAGACTCTGGGATTGAGTAGAAAATACTGTTATAAGATACTTTACCTGGCACCAGAAAACCACAAGGCCCGGGGACTTCTACAGTGCGTCAGTCAGATTAGGTCAAAAATAGATTTCAGTCTTGTGTTCAAAGTTAAGTGATAGAATAAGGTTTCAAGATTAACAGTAGCATTTTTCAAGCATCAAGAATCTCAAGGAAACGTATCGAGTTAGTATATACATGTTAATATTAACATTAACGTTTTTGCCCAGTGAAAACAATATCACAGTAACTGTAATATATACATAGTGCTGTTTTGATTTTGGCAACTTGTGGTCTCCTTTGGGAGTTCTCCTCAAGTGTATGTATGTTTGCTAGCACAAGACCAGACACTTATTTAACCATATTGTGTCGTTTCTTTGTCTAGCTCCTGGAAAGCATTGTATTGCTGCACTACAATATATCCATTTACCTGTACAAGTGAACTTCTTGGAGGGTGTGGTCAGTAGAAGTTTGTCCGTCATGTCGCCGGGCCCGGCACAGCGAGCAATGCCAGGCTCCTTATACCCGCTCTTCACCCAGTCTGACAGCCACTGCATGTGACAGTCACAGTACAGAGGGTTGGCGCCCAGAGCCCTGCCAGCCAATTGGACAAAAAGTGAGACAGCAGAAGAAATAACTGGGAGCATTTCAATCATGGTGGTAACAGTGTCACTGTTAGATCAACTTATTTCGGTGTTAAATAAAGTAGACCATGAAGCTTTCGGGAGTGGCAGTGTTTGGATTGTCACTCTGATCCACCCTTTACTTGTCACGTCTGGTTTCAAAAACCCAAGCTGGTAACAACCACAACCCTCAGCTACAAAACCAAGGGGCGACATCATGGTGGCTACACCATCATTTTATATAAAGCCTTGGGTTATATTGTATTAGAACTGTCTGTTACAAGCACTCTCCATGGTGCTGATCCTTGTGAGCGCCTCACGTAGACTCACCAGGCATCTGCACCCTGTATGACCACTGTGCTTTTTCTGCAGCCTGCTTAGTTGTATTGGTACTGCACTAAAAATGAGAGCAATACCCAGTGCTCACTTCCTCTGTATGTCTTTCTCTTTTGTTCATTTCAGCCATGAGATCGTTGTCGAGGCAACACTCAAAGAAAACAACAGTAAAATAAAGTAAAGCAGAACAAAACTTCATTGAATTACATCAGCTTGTTTTCTTTTCAACAAAATATTTCTGCTTCATGGACTTCTCGTTAGAATATATAATCATGACTCTCTGATTTTTCTGCTTCTGCTCTGGGCGTCCTCGTCACAGTGGGAGTGGGCTTTTTATGTTTTGCATTTAATTATTTTAGCAGATTTCCCTGAAAATTCATTAACTACCAGGGGGAAAAATCCCTGGTAATTTGCCCCAAATTACAACACAGTGCATTGTATTCTTCTTATAACTACTATTTAGATTGCTAATAGTAGAAGTGGTTAGTATGTGGATCTCACCTGACCGGAAAATATGGATTCTGTTATTGATTGTTTCTGAAAGTGTTGTGATCACACAGCCACACAATGTCCATTTAACATACAAAGACAGATACTCATATAGAAAACACATTTATGCCATTCAGGCCCACCTTTGTGTAAATTACCTGGCTCATTGTGAAAATTGTTAGTAAACCTCTGAGCTGTGACAGCATATAACCATTGACGCTCTGCTACTTAGCTAAAGAAACAATCCTGTGTGATCACTGATGGCATGACCAGTTGGCTGGATAAGGATGTGGCATCTGCATAAACCACTTCTTTGTTATATTTCGTTGTAAATGATAAAGGAAAACACACAAAATTAAAGCGAACGATCTTCCCAATGCTAGAAAGGACGTCCAGTCGACATTCATAGAGGTCACTGAGCAGATGGCCGGGTAACATCCTGTCTGATGATGCGTCACAGCTTTAATTATAAGTTTTGTTCTGTTTGTGTTTTTCAGCTCCCTGCAGTTACTGGACAGATATATTCATGTATTTCTTTGATTTGTTATTTTATAGGGGAAAAAAAGGGCAGATTTTTCAGACACACAGTGACACATGACCAGTGATGTTTCTGTGTTTGCGTGTTACTCACAGGTGGGAAAGCGATGACAGGTCTTTGAAGGCTCCTTCTGGTATCAGTGATATGTCATTACCGTGAAGAGACCTAAGAAAACGTGATTGAAACAGGATGAGATACAATAAAAAACGATTGGATGATTACTTCAGCACTAATCTGACTCTCTGGGACATTTCCCAGGATCAGAAAGTTCAGATACTCACAACAAACGGAGAGATTTAAGTCCGTCGAACGCCCTCTCTGGTATGCATCGCAGCCGGTTGTAGCTCAGAATTCTTTGCAGACAGAATTAACATTTTAGCACGGACACAAGGCAGATTTTTTTCCCCAAGAAATCTTTGCATGCAGCAAGACAATTCAGAACACAATCCTACTTCTGACTGAGATAAGCAGGCAAAGCAGCAAACATGAACAGTTTAATACACTCATTCATATGCAGGTCTCACAACGCAGTGATCTAGTACTCAGAGTGCAAGTTTTCTTCCTTTTTTATGTGTATTTTGTTTCTTTTATTTATAGCAACTAAGAGACAAAACATTTATCACACTGGTGCACAGACTATAAACTGGAGAAACTGCTCTCTGATGTATATATCATGTACTGTTTTCTCCAGCGCCTTCCACTCTTTTCCTGTTTTATTTTTTCAAAATGATTCTTTATATATTATTAAAAAGGAAGTGAAGCTACAAGCTAGTTCAAGGCAGCATCTCCAGCTGCACTGGATCTTTGCTCTCCCTGCTGCCCTGAGTTGATGCCAGCTGTTAAGCACCACCGCCAGTCCAACATCCATCTGTATATTTACTCATCGTTCCCCAGTTTGATATGTAATATATTTGTGGGGCAGGGTGTTGAGCTCTGAGCCAGACTCTAACTATAGTTTGTTGTTGTAATAAAGTAGCACTTTAAAACATACGTTGTCTGACTAAAGTGAATTTTTGGAGTAGTTTAGGTGAAGCCAGTATTTTATGACATCGATGGTTATTTTGTGGCAATACAATCTTTCAGAGATTCCCTTGACTCTCTTAGGACTGGCTAAAAATCACATGCCGTCATGTCACCCTTTCTTGATTTCTGCTATGATTTTTTTGAGGCCTTCTTCTATTTGAGCATTTATGAGCTTCTCATCCCCACATAGTCACAACTGTGCTTAAAAACAAACACTCACACACACCGCAAAGACATATGTAAAGCCAGACTCACAGGGTAAGCAGCTCGGACATGTTACTGAGGCTGTGGTTGGACAACGTGCTGATCTGGTTGTTACTCAAATCACTGGAAAGGAAACAACAGATACATAAAACCCACACAGGCAGCACTGTCCATACATGCGTGAACAAACCCACACGCGTGCACAGACTATATGGATTCTGTAATGCTCCTCCTTTAGTCTATCGTACCCAGACTGTCACACCACATCAGGGCCAAACAAAGTCACAAAAATGATTCAACACAGAGTTCAGTCTGTTAGTTGTGATTAAAAGCAAAGTGCAGGAAGCACAGACCAAATCCCAAAGTGTTTTCTTTTTGCGTTTAAAAAAACGTGTGTTAACCGTACTAAACTTGGCAAAGTGGGAGTTAATTATCTGTGTGAAAGTATACAATATCTCTCCACTGAGGTGCTACGGGTGAGACTTACATGAGCGTTAAGTGTTTGTAATTGGAGAGCTCCACGGGAACTTGAGTGAAGTGATTTCCATCCAAATACCTGAGAGTCAGAAAGACAGCGTGGGAGACAAAGAACGAGGGAACACGGGGGTGATATCGAGGAGGATTGGTAAACAAAGGGAGAAAGTGAGAAGGGAGAAAATGAAGTGTTAACCATGTGGGAAATTCCTCATAACCAGTGTGAGCAGTCATTACTGCTGCAGCCATAATAAACACTGGAGTTTAATATCCCCACAGGCGTCTCTCGCTCAGACATACACACATTCACGGGTGAGATCCTATCTCTCACTTTGTGACAATGTGCTATTAATCCAGCATATTAATTAAGTCTTTGTTAATACTGGAAGAACCTTGTCCCCCAAAGGAGACACAGTAGAATGAATAAAAATACCACTAAAGCTGCGGTCTGATATTTAATTCAAGATTATAATACTCTGATCATTAGGGATTTTTGTTGAGCAGGACTTTATGTACCAAGTGTGATCAGAAAGTTTCAGGACTGATTAAAATTAGGTCTCAAGGCTTCATGGCTGAATACTGGTGCAAGCTGGCAAGTGCCGCAGTTTTAAATGGATGACTCAGGATGTTCCAGTATAAATCTGTTTTAATAGTTTTCACTTTTTGGAATGAATTCAAGCACACTAGCGTCAGAAGAATGAGGAGCATCCACCTGATTGTGCTCCTCACCTGATGCGCTGTTTTGGGGCTTAGAGACTGTGGACTCCTCAGCTAAAAAAACACTCTCTGTGTCAAAGTCTCAGCTCACGATTGTCTTAATGATCTTAATGATCTTCATCTACTGTATATGCATTTTTTTTGGCTGAAACAGAATTTAATGTTTACTCTGTGGAAGTGTGAGACCTGGTTTAAAATCTCAGGAGCACGATCGCAAATAGTCAGATCAGAAGCGAAAGTGATCCAGGAAGGTACAAAGACGATCAAAATTAAATAAAGGATAGTTTTTGATTATTTTGGGTACACAGCTATACCAATCAACATTATTATTACAACACAAATGTCTTCAGATGAGAAATAAAATTCTCTTCAAGTTCACAGTTCCGGTGTCTCTGTGTCTCGATAAGCATGTGTTTCTGTGGTTTTCCACCTTTCTGAATGAACATTTCAAGCTCCAGTGAGGTAAGAGATTGATTCAGATGCATAGCGTAATAAATCTGAGGTTTTCTGAAGTCAAAGAGGGACGGCTTCAACTTCCTCCATCCACCATAAGTTTGAGCTCTCTGTGGGCACTACTGAAATCCACTCTGACTCTGACCTCTGCTATGGCCTTACTTTTCTCAGCACAGCCTCTGGGGTGTGAGAGGACAGCATTTCTTTGCCAGACTCACTCGTTGTATCCTCCATTACAGTGCTTTTCTAGCTCTACATCTGCACAGTCTCACTGCAGAGATAATTTATCAAGTGTCTCATGATATTGCATCAGACGACTGATGCAGACCTTGGACATACAGCCAAAGCTATAAAAAGCTATCTTTAGCCACAAGATGAACAATGAGTGCTGAAGCAGGTGGCGTGGCCCCAAGGAGCACTGACCTTAACTGATCTTAGCATCACAGATTCAGTCTGGGATTAGCTACAGTGCACCAGTGCAGGATTGCATGCTGGCACGCTGGCACGAACCACTGTTTAGATCAGATCCACTAAACGTTCTTGACCCTGGTGGATTAACTGTCTGTGTGAATGCTATTAAAAACGAAGCAAAGGGTGCTCTGTTGGTTTGTGGACTCTTCAACTGCCAATCGTTGTTTAGTCTGTGGGTCACAGCTGGAGATTCAGCTCTAATTGTAATGAGCGTTGGGTCAGTTTGACTCAGAGTGGAATGTTTGTTCTCTGAACAAGATGTAGAAGTGCAAGCAGTCAACAACTGAAATCACTGATTGCTTTTGTCATTAGCAGGGAAAGTGTTAAGGGACCAAACTAAAAGTAACAATTATCTCAAAGCTCTGGAAGTGGTCTGGACCTGATCTTAAATAATTTATGTTTCTTTATGTTTTCAGGCACATTTAATAGGGACCTTTATGATTGTAGCTTGTAAAATGTGGAGTTTGGTTAAGCTTTATACTAAAGGGTGTGTTTGTTATAAACTCACAGTTCGGTGGTCTCTTTGGGCAGGCCTCTGGGCAGCGTGGTGAGTCCCTTGTTGCTGCAGCGGACCACGGTGTCCAGACAGGAACACTCAGCTGGACACCTCAGCACTGGAGAGCAGCTGTTCTCATCATTACCTGATGGTAAAAGTGATTAGGGATAAAAAAGCTGTTTTAGAGAGACGTGTAATATCATTATTATTTTCTCCATCTCACCATCTTCACAGGCAAAGTCCTGGACAGCTACATCCTGGATGGGGATCTCCTTCAGGAAGTAAGGACTCTGGCAGCGGGGGTTACCAGTGACGATGCGTTTCCTTCTCAACCAATCACCAAGCCAAGCCAGGTGACAGTTGCAGTTAAAAGGATTAGCCAGAAGGTTTCTGGAGAGTAGGAAAGTAAGGTGATGAGGGTGCTCAGCATTATTATTATTGTTATTATTGTTATTTTTTGCATTTATATTTGTCACATTTGTGGGTTGTGTTGTTTACACTCACAGTGTGGACAGGGAGTGCAGCGTGTCGAAGGCTCCGGGGTTCATGGAGGTAATCTGGTTGTCATAGAGTGACAGCAGACGCACCGAACTCAACCCCACGAAGCTGCTGTTGCTCACACAGCTGATGCGGTTGCTCCTCAGCATGCTACCCACACACAGGAAAAAAGTGAATGAATTAACCTGTACTACAGTTAAGTATGTAGTATACAGTATATCCGGTCGTTAAGTCTGACGTCACTAGCCGTGTCTGGGCCTAAACTCCGCTGCAGGTCCATATATCAAACGATC